AGCAGACGGAGAGCAGGAGTTTATATTCCACAAGTCTCACCCACCCTAGGAGGATGGCAATTTTTTTTGTACATGCATGGACCACCCAGCACTTAAAAAAAAAACCCATATGACTTAAAACATACACTTACCATTTATAATCAAGGATTGCAATCTTTTTTTCTATATTAACTGATCAAGGAAAAGCATTTTTAAAATAGCGAGACAATTTTTGATTGTTAGCAGTTTTACCATTTTTTCAAATTAACCTTTTTGATTCCTTGTCTAAATTTGAATGTGCACATTTGCCACAAAATAATTTCCATAAACATGTTTTAGCCATATAAGAGTGATTCTAAAAGTCCCTTTATGAGTTTATGCTTTCACTTTATGGAAAAAGTTGTATCTAAAAATCTGTTGTGTTGTATTGCATCTGCACACTGATTCAAACGAAGATTTGAAGGCTAAGCACACATTCTCAGTGCACAGATGCAAAATATTTCAGTTTGTGTCTAGTGCTTTGAAGCTGAGTGATGCATGATAGATATAGATATTGAACAGTGTCCTTTATTTGGAGTACAAACAAAGGGACATTACATAATCTCTGCTCTGAACAAATTCCAGAACTAGGATTGTGTAAATCTTTCAGAATGCTATTTGCTCCACCTTGTGGCTGTGGGAGTACAAGCACCGAGGCTCACAGTGCTGTTGGACATGGATAATATTGCCCATGATTACTTTTACATTCGAGGAGGAGTAAATATTGAGATACAGAAGTATCTGAAAGTATCTTCCTGTTTAGCAGAAAACTATTTTTGTAGTCTTTGAAGTTCAGCTCTTGTTTTCAGGTCTTTGCACCTACTATTCACTTGTCAGATGTTTTCATAGTGGAGCCGTGGTATTTTTTAAGGCTACAAAGAATGGAGTCTCGGGGCAACACTTAAGTGCTGTAACACAAGTAGTAACAGGACAACAGGAAACTTGCACTGGCATGTTAACAGAAGCGTCTTAAAAACAACTTCACATATATAACAGAGCACAGGAAACGATTGTCTGGGAAATGTCTCAGATGTGGAAAACGTAAAATCCCACAACTGTTACAAGGAAATGATAACAGGCTGTATCTTGAAGATGAACAGCAGGAACCCATGTGCTAAGCATATGAAAGCAATGTATATGTCATCTTTTGTTATTTCCAAAAGTTGCAGCTCTCTTGACTATTAATAAGCTAAATGACTCATGGTGCTGGTTAATGATCATTATTTGTTTTCACTTTGCAAATATCAACAGTTCTGGAATTGTAATTGTTATTTGTACCGTAACCAAAGGTTTTAGTTATAGAGTTCTGTTTGGCACATGTTGTGAAACCAATCTGGTTTTAACCAGATGCTCTAAATAGGATAAGGAAAAGATTGTCTTAACCAGCCAAGTCAGCGGATTTTTTTTTTAAAGACCCTAAGACCCAATACCGTGCAGACATTGACTCAGTTTAGTGAGTCAATGTCTGCAGTTATCTTAGTGAGCTTCATATTGTAGGTAAAGATGTAGGTAAATATTAGAGAGAAAAGCTCTCTCTAAAAGTTCCCCTTTTAGCAAGCACTTAGGAAAAAAGAGCTCAGTCTTAACAGAACGAGACCTCTGGAAGAACCCTGTTCGGGGAGAGGCAGCCATCTGCTGTGACTGGTTGAGGGGTTAGAAAGGGAGGATGGCAAAGAAAAGCAAACAGACAGACATCTGGAGCTGAAAATCAGTGGACTGACTTTGTATTTTCAAGTTGTAAGCCTGAAATGAAAAAATCAGCCAATCACATTTAAAAAGTGACAGTTTGAAGGCCCAAGCTTCTTATCACCTTTATTTAATGCATTTAGAAAGCCCCTTAATCCTCTAAAATCCAAAACACTGAAATACAGTTACTATGCAGTCCCATCATCCTATTAAACAGCCAGTGAGAGATAATGGAATCGCCACACACTCGTTGCAGTGATAATCAAATGCAGTGTGGCTTTTGCACTTTGAATCAGAGCACGCTCTCTCTGAATCAGTCCTTGACACACACGCTGGCACCGACACAAACATTTCATGTGCCACAAAGAATAAAGTAAGTCTTGATCCCAAGTACGGGCTCCTCTCGTTTTACTTTTAAGTGGAAATTAAAGGAAAAGGTGCAACAGCAATCTTAACTGAGTGAGCTTTTCAGATATAGTACAAAGACCCAAACACTTTGTTGATTGGTTTCTAAAGATAGCAGGGCTACTATGGTAACAGAAACTGACATCAGTTTCATCCAGCACCTAAGGTTGCCTGCAAGCTTCAATCCATGAAGGTGTGAAACGGTCTGTGAAAATACAAACTATGAGTAACCAAGCACCAGTAGCACTGATTCACAGGCACCTATTAGCTCAGTTAATCAATGTAGTATCTTACCTCTATTAAGCACTGTGTTGTTGACTACAGGTTAAAAGTAGCAACACGATAGGCCTCTGTGTACCTGAAAGGTACCATCATGACATGTTTTTCACAGGTTTTCTACTTTAAATAGTATGATTAGTTACATAGTCATTACACAGAGGTACCATAGTATTGTCATTAGCCAACTACGCTTGTTTTTTTAATATCCTCACAGATCACTAGATGGTGCTTCATCTCCTATTTGGAAATAAACCAGTTTTCTTCTAACCACAGAATCTCTAAATCATGAGAGAGAACCGGAAATATCAGTGCTGAGTGCTAAATTATTAACAGTGGTGAAGCTCTCAAATGTACCAACAGCCTGTAGTTTTACTGCATCAGTTTCAGTGATCAATAGTGTAAAACCATACAGGTTTCTCTTCCATTTAGGTCAAGGTTGGCAAAAGGTATACTGGGCTTAACAGCTAATTAAAAATGACTTTTAATAACCTCTTACAAAGAGTCGTGGATGTAAGAGTTTTATTACTAGAGCAGTCATACTAAAGCACTAACATTCAAACAGTTGTTCTTTTCTGTAGTTCTTCAAGGCAGACCTCATTTTACAAGTCGATTCACAGTTAAATCTACAACATGTCATATTTATAGTTGTGATGAGAAGAAAACATATATGGGTAAAAAAGCCACTTGATTTATCTTAAAATGAATGACTGTTCAGCTCAACTGTTCTTGGTCTTTGGTTAAAATAACAATTACAAAAATGGCCAAAACTACTTTAAAAGGTTTTTTTTATAAGAAGAGCTCCAAATGTAAGAATTTATAGTTCATAACAAAAACAGAATTAGCATTATTTGTCATATATGAGAAAGAAAAATATGCCTTTAGTGTTTTTTTTTCCTCTAACACGTCACACAGTCTGTGAGAAAAGGAAACATATTGAGGACAGCTGTGCAACACTATTCCATAGAAGAAGGACTGTATAAACAAGTAGAGAAAAGGTAAACTATTTACTAAATTCTTTTCTCCAAGCACAAACAAGATTTAAGCAATTAGGTTTGGTTTAGTTTATTAAGATCCTCATTAGCTAAAGCAGCTACTCTTCCTGGGGTCACGGGTCTTTAAACTTTAACAGTGCACTATTACAATCTCCACACAGATGTATAACATCATAATAAAAGCATAAGAGTTAACTGTTTTATAACATTTAGAGAGGTTTTTTAAAAAAGAAATCTCATCAATATTAATTGGCAATAATTAAAATCATGAAATGACCTGGTTGAGCCTGGTCTTTTAAACCCAGAAATCCCATTTCCTATTTTAGCAACTATCTTGATATGTTCTGTCCAGGATAATTTACTAAGATTATACACAGTACAATGGTCTCATGAACTTGGTCAACAAACACACCATTAATAGAAACCTTTAAATTTCGAGTTTTTCAAATAGAAAGGTTAGAACCAAGTATAATGCTATTTGATTTACAGACATTCAAAATCACTTTATTGCTCCTTTTCCACTTAACATTTAACTCTTTCTTAGTGGTAACTAATATATATATTGATGAATAATTTGGATACATAGAAATAATAGCCTTATTAAGGATGACTGTTATGCCATTAGGAAAGATAACATACAACAATGGGCCAAGACATCTTTCTTGGGCCATTACACACTTAAAACCCTGACATCTAAGTATGTCCTATTTCCTGTTACTTAAACAACTCCGTCCTTAATAATACAGAGAGAAGCTGGATGGCTTCTATTCTACTGCTGACTCCAGGCACATGTGGCTAGGCCTACAACACATCGCAGACTACACAAGCACTACCAGCATCACCAGCTCCATAGACAGCGTGTCCAATGATCTCAATACCTTCTACACCTGTTTTGAGACCTCCAGTTATAACACAGAGAGGAAACATACACATAGGACCACCTGCCCCTCATCACCTCGCCTAACAATCTCATGAGCTCAGGTACACACAGCAGTGAGGAAGCTCAACCCCCATAAGGCAGCAGGACTCTCAGAGCATGCCAGCGAGTTAGCTGATGTTCTCTTCTTCATCTTCAACCTTTCCCTCGGCCAGTGTGTCAGGATTAGTGATGGAACTTTAGCCAGCATTACTACAAATATAGGCATTCCACAGTAAAGTAACTAAGTAACATTTTATTTCTATAGCACCTTTCAAGATAAAATCAAAAAGTGTTTCAGAGAGAAGCTAAAACATAAAAACAGAAATCAGCCAAAAGCGAATTTACACATTCCTCACCCTTGCTGAAGATACTGTACCATTGAACCATTCATTCTCAAATGTAAAATCAAGATGTGTCTCTGATTATCTGAGAAAAATTTAGTTTTAGCTGATTTCTAATAAGAAATAAGTTACGTATTCTATTTCTAGAATATGTTTCTATTTCTACAGTATTTATGTGTCCTATCATTAATCCTTTTCTCAGTAGTTTAGAAGGCCCTGACATAGACCAAACACACAGAAATGTCATTGCTTACCAAAAGACAACCAAACAACTGGAGGACTTCTAACTGAAGAGAGGCACATGTGGTAGCAAGACAAGATAACACTTACATTAGCATTTGATTTTATTTATTCAGAGCAATTTAAATACATGTGACAAGTTACTAAACTGAAGAGTTATCACATATTTCTAGAACGCCTTTAACCTTGCAAGCAGTGTTATGAAAATGTAAATCATACTGAAAGAACTGGAAGAAGTACACCTAAATCAACACATGAAGAAATTTGTATAGAGCCCCTTTTAAATATAACTTCAAACAGATTTTTTCTTAAAAAAAGAAGATTAAACTGGCAATCTGCATATGATATGACATTTTAACAAAATATTTAAAAAAAGAATCATTGCACACACTGGCACACTGGCCATCACACAGTTGCCTAGGAACTCCAGGTGGGGATGAAACAGCATGTAAAACTCTTTTGAAAAAAAAAAACCCCATCACTTTTATCACTGACGATGTTGCTTAGTGAACGCTGGGCAATACCACCCTGCTATACCTAGTTTAAAAGCTGGTTGACTGCAATCGTAAAACTGTTTAAATAAATGGGTCAAAGTTATAGCTTTAACAGCTAAGCACCCACAAAAACATACAAATGAAGTGCTTACATTATTGTGGATCAACTGAAAGTTATTGCAAAATAAGTTAAACTATAAATTAAGTTAAATGTAGTTTACAGATTACATCGTCTGCTACAACTGCAAAAATAAGAAAAAAGCTTTCCCTTACACGTCCCAGTGTAGGAGAGAAGGTGCTTGTGTACTTGATAGAATGATTAAATTTCAAATTACCTCCAGTACTGAATACAATATCAGTGTTAAAACTGTTGATTATTTCTTTCGTACAAATAACTGGATAAGATACAGTATTTTTGCATAGCATAGTAAGTAGGCAATAAAAGAGTAGAAGATAGGCAGTGGGTTGTAAGGATTCTTTGGAATGAATTGCTCAGTTTAAAACATAAATTAGTAATATGTTTGGCAATTGCTTGAGCATCAAGTCGGCACTGACGCCTGTCCTCACCACATATTTTTGTGGTTGTATGCATGTCATATAATTTGTGATTGTCTAATACCATTATACACTGGATAGAATTCATGATTAAGCAGAATAGGTAATTTACTACAGTACAGTTTATCACAAGCAAACTTATTTCAATAAACTATTTTAAGTTTTACTTGCTGGCAGATTAATTGTTATATTTTGTCGGCCCATCCTTATCAAGTTCTTTGCAAGAAGGTTTAATGTCCTTGAATTCCTTCTCATCAGTCTGTGAAACGTCCACAATTATGTCCTCAGTCTGATGTTTTCCTTGCATTTCTTCATCAGTACCCAACATTTCTTCCTCTGGCAATGAACATATTTCATCACATTTCAGAGAAGGGAGTTTTTTCCTTTTGTGAAGGGATCCAGGGTTTGAATCTTCTTTGGCAGCCTCTTTTTGAGTCTGTCCTGCAGTAGACAAAATAACTGAACCACTGGTTTGGCTATTAAAGCAAGCAGACCTGGTGATTTTGGCAGGTTGTAGGGTGGTGTTGGTAGTGTTGGTAGTGGCAGTGAACATATCAAAGATGTCCTGGTTCTGTTGAGACTCATCAGTAGGGAATTTAGGAGAATATTTGAATGGATTTCCAGGGTAAGCCAAGGTGGTACTTGCAATATTACCTGCTAGCCCAGGTTTACCTTTCATCATTCCCAGAACTTCAAAGCGAAAGCTGGAGATATCCTGTTTGAGCTCCTATCAATTATTGGGAATCTGAGATTAAACAGTGGAAAAAATATATGGAAAACATAATACAACTGGGTACTTAAGCTTAAATGATAAAGAATTTTATGCTACCTTGAAATTTTCCTCTGTCAACCCCTGCTCTGTCTTGGCATCTCTAATCATTGCAGCCACATATCGTTTCATGAGGTTCTTCAAAACCTCCTAAAACACATTATTTTTAAACAAGCAAAGAGTTATGTTTACATTTAACCATTTACATTCAATCAAAATAGGATAGTAAAAAAACAACAAAAATAATAAACAATACAGTGCAATATAATACAAATTATTACCTGATACTCATGGCTTAATTTTACATTTTCAGCTGCACGTCTCTGCAATTACAAGAAAAACAAAAGGCTCATTAAGACAGCACCGGGTTATTTCCATTTTCACTGATTAGGTGATTTTTTTTTCTTACTTGCCCTTTTTCAATAGGTAATCGTTTGACACACATTAACATGGATGAATTCATTTTCGAAGCCACTTAGAGGCTGTAATAGTAGACAGGGTATAAACAGGCATGCATGAAAATGTATAACATGCAGTGGTGACAGTACAGGTCAGAGAAAATCTCTGGAAACACTTTACCCCCAAAGTTTCAAAGGTTTCAAGACGTTTTGTGCTTGGTCTCCTAAACAAATGTGTTTTTATCCATCCAATTAGATAATAAACTGACTTTGGACTGGGTATTAAATTGAATGGAGATGGCAAAGTTCCCCCTTCTTCAAAATAGCTCATCCATAATTTTGTTCGTGCAAATTTCCACTCTATGTCTGCATGATCCTGAAAAGAAACACAAACAATTCATAGAGCAGATTAGGCAGATTATTTTGATAACTCTAATAATCTAACTCTAAAATAAATAATTGTGTAATCTTTATTTTGCTACTTACAGCAATGTGCTGGTATGAGTTGTTCATCATTGCAATTAGCATGTTTAGAAGCACTACCAGGGAGATGATATTATAGGTGCCAAACATGGTAGAGCCGACAAATTCTGTGAATGTATGGTCCGGCTCCACGTTCGTCACGTACAGGTTAATCAGCCCAAAGATAGACCAAAATAATGACTGCAGTGTTTCGAATAGCCTAAAAAGAACACAACCATACATCACAGCATGCACTGTTGGAAAAACAAACATATTAATCAAGTCAGATTTTCAGGGGTAATTTATGTAAGAATTTCAACTTGCGTGGAGAAAGCGTTGTTTTGCTGATTACAGCGGATGCCCTTGCAAGTCCCATTATTTGTTTCATAGTAAAAATAGAGCTGGTTGAGGCCATTGGCAAATGCTAGCAGCACTAGACAGTAGATGAAGAGAAATTTAAGTATGTCCAGAAGCATGCGGCCCAATGAAATCTGTAAAGGCCCCAAATGGGAGTTGGCAGTGAAAAGACTGATGAGACGCAAGGAGCTGAAAATGTTGGCGATGGAAAACAATGCCTCTGCCACCAATGTTGGGTGCCACGTTTCCCAGGTGTCTCTCAACTGGCACTTTGCACTATACTGTTGAAAAAAAAAAGAACAATAGTCAAACATGCTCAATATTGATAGCACACAATGTCAATTTTTCCGGCATGATGGTTGCTCCAGCACAAAGTAATAAATAAAACAGACAGACAGATAGAAGCCTTTAATATAAATTACCTTAATATAGGCAACAATCTTCAGTGAAATTGTTGCAAGATACAAAGAGTTCATTATGAAATCCATCAGGTTCCACCAGTCATCTATGTAGTCCTCAAAACCACTATCCCACATCTGTTTGATCTCAGCCCATAAAAAGCCTTCAAGGAATGAAAATAAGACGTGTCATTGTTGTATTTTTGCTCAGGTATTTGTCCCGAGGCAAACACACATGAGACGCAATGAATGAAATCATGTGACAAACCTCTGCTTAGACTACAGTGTTCATGTACACAGGAGTGCAGTCTAAAAAAGAGTCTGCAATATGTGTGTGTATTATTACCAAGCACCCAGGGCAGGATTATCCATTCCACAATGGTGGGTGGTGGGCCCTGACGGTGTTCCAACCGATCATCACTCTGTAGATGCTGCGAGGCCAAGAAGAGCAGGAAGAGGAAGGTCAGGTAGGAAGCAGTGTGACAGATGAACTTGATGAAAGGCTTACGGATGAATAAGCCATAGCGGCTCTTTGGAGCGATCAGGTAGAAGATGGATAACAGTGGAAACGCAAGGCCAATGAAGATACAAGTGATGAGCTTTACTGCCCAGTGACGCCTCCTCCAGCCTGGGAATTCATCATACCAGCGAGACGCCAGCAGCTGCTGGCAGTTGGGCTGAGCAACAAACTAGGAGACAAAGAGAGAGACAAATAAAGATTACAGATGTTTACATGAAATAAATTGTTTTTTATTTACCCATCTGTCTCTCAGGTCCAACCAAAAACTGACTAAACAGAAAAAACGGTAATTAATGGTACACAAAAGATGTGCAAGTTTTTTGCCACAAAAGATCAAGAACTGCAAAACGACTAGAAACATTCATTCAAAACAAAGAGTTTCAAAAAGGTATTTCTAAAGTGATGTTCAACGCTCTGTTAAGAAATGATTGCCAAATCTTTTCCCCATGCACATTTTCTCTGCTCTATGAGATTTGATATAAAAGTCTGTTGGACATCTGCAGATGGTGATGGAATTCAATTTCAGCGTAACCCAGTTATGGCTAAATGGATCCCAATTATGGTACTAAAAAGCATTTTGTTGCGGGTGATGAGGTCATCTATCAGTGCAGAATCTGCCTTTTCAAAGTTTCCTTCAGTAACTGTCCTGGACAGATTTGAACTTACATAAAATGACTGGAGGCAAATGGTGACATCTGGAAGGAACAGATTGTGTATGGGGACATTTTTTGAAGGTGAAAATGACCCTACACAGAACATCAATTAGTGTTCTTACTTCTATTTCACAATATATTGCAAATTGCATCATACAGAACATTGATATTCACTCTACTATCTAAAAATTCACAGATAACACTACCACTATTTTTAATAGTTACTGAGAATCCAAAATTCAAAATCAGTTAAATATATTTTGTACTTTTTAAACACTTAACACTTTGGATTTGGAGTTTGAGCTCAGGTTTAGAGGAAAATGTGCAAAAGCAGAGTGAGCACAGCAAGTAGCAAGAAAAGAAACCTCCAGAGAAATCTCCGAAGAATACAAGAAAGAAGACTTTCATGATCCTAATATTGCTGACATCAAACAAGTTCTAGTTTGTGTAGTCCAATTAATATTTAAGTGAATTTTATTTTTTAAACCCTTGAATCACATGGCTCTGTGTCTGTCTTTTTAATCTGAATTGTTATGATAATTGCTATTATTGTTATTAATAAAGAATGATATTCTACACTCATGAGCCACTCTATTAGGTCCATGTGTACAACATGTTACAACAAAGATTTCTAATGATGGCAAACATGGCAACAACTCATGGCATGCAGACATGGCCAGAACAACTTGCTGAGGTTCAAATGCGCACAAGAATTAGAAATGATTTAAGTGACGTTGAATATTACATGGCTGTAGGTGTCAGACAGGGTGGTCTGAGAAAACTCCTGATCTACTGGGATTTTCCCACACAGACTCTTCTACTGTGCACAGAGACTGATGCAAAAACAAAAAAAAGCTAAATATCCAGTAAGAAGCAATTTTCTGATACAGTTGGCTGAGGAGAATGGCCAAACGGCTTTGAAGTGATAGACTAGACATGGTATGGTCAGAATCTGGCATAAGCAACATGAAACCATAGCTTTTCAACAGTCCAGGTTAGTGATAGTGATGTATGGTGTGGGCGATCAGCATTTAAACACCACAGTGTACTTCAGTGTTGTTGCTGACTATGTTCATCCCTTTATGACCACAGTGTACCCATTTTTTGACGATTCCTTCCATCAGGATAACTCTGCATGTCACAAAGTTAAAATCAAGTCACCAGAATATTGGAAAAATGTTACCTTGTCTCATGACAAGGTATCATAATACAAAATAATACAGAGACCCCCTATGAGCAATAAACAGTGAAAGCAAAAACTACCTTTTAACAGGAAGAAACCTCGGGCAGAACCAGGTTCCAGAGGGAGACACCATGGTTGGGGGTAATGGGAACAGTTTTCTATAAGGCCCATTAAATATAATGCTAATGCTTTTTTTTTTTTAATGTGCTGATGTAGAATTTACAAATAATCACATAAGCTGAAAATCAAATGTCAAAAATGTTTTTAAAAAAAGAAAGAAAAAATCTTTTTCTTTTTCTTACCAAGATCATTGTTCTCACTTCAGGCTCACTGGAGTTCATTTAGGCCAAATGATTAGATAAACAAAATTAGTAGGAAGGCCTGTCTAAAGCCTTTTCCATGGAGATAAATTGTAGCACACAGAACTGTTGGCAGTCATACTGATCTTTCTTATTCATGTCACCAACTGTGTCATCAAAATACTCTTAAAGCCTCAATTCTAAGACTACATGGGTGGTATGAGCCATTAACTCTGCAAATACTATACAACTGCTGTACACAAACAAGACCCAAAAGTTCCACACAGCCTCTTTAATGAGTGGAATAAATGAAAGACACCCGCTGAGTGCACGCAATGTGTACTTTATATTCCAGTCTGTTATCCAGGAAACACCAAAACAAACAAAGCAATCCTGAATTTGTAACAGTGTAAGTCGAGTTAAACCATATACCAGAAATAGCTGCACGAGAAAACATGAATGCCAGGTGGATTGAACATTAACTGGTGTTTACTCTAACAGCTTCCTGATATAAACGCCGTGTGATGCACCGATGTGACAATAGCACTGGTCACTGTCAGGTGAATTCACAGGGAGCGGGTGGGGTCAGGTGACCTGCCTCTGCCTCTATACATGCTCTACAGAGACACCACCCGTAGCAAAACAAAACAGAGTCTGAGGGTGACTGGATTCTCCCAACACTATCCGCCGTTTAGGTGTGAAAAAAAGACCTGACACCAAAAGCACCACCTTTTAAAAACTTGTTGTCACCTGCTCTGTGTTAGGTTGATATTCATGCAATGTACCGTTATACTCCAATATAAATTAAATATACATATAATTATGAATGACACAGATCTTTGTGTGAATGCCAAGGTATCTAATTATTAGTAGGTTTTCTTTCATTTGCAGCAAATAATACAAAACTAGTATGCAATTGATAAATATCCAGAGAATATGTTAAAAGACACTAAACGGTCCCCACCCAGTTTAAAATATTATGAGTTTGTATTTCAGGGAAATGGCCATTACTTCTCCCATCATTATCCTCAATTATCCAATTATCATGGGATTCTCTAAGAGGGTTACTGTAATGCATCGCTAAGAGCCAGCCTGGCAATTACATATTGCTCTAAACTCCCACAGGACATCTCCACCCAGGCCATTTACAGCTCATCTTGGTGCATTTCTTGTCATCTTCAAACAGGTTGATTCTTATTACTTGTTGCCAATCTGCATGTGCACTGGTGTAGACAAATTCCTGTATTCATGTCTTTTTCACCTTAAATATATCCAGAAAAAACCTTTTTGTTCCAGTGTGACAAAGACCACATCAAAATCAAATAAAAGCTCACCTCTTTCTGGGAATATTTGATAGCCAGTTTCAGTCGGGCAAGCTCATTAATGTTCTCATCCAGCAATGGGTTGATGTCGTCACGGTAATTGAGGATTACTTCCAGCTCTCTGGAACTACGAGTCTGGTCCAAGAGGTCCTTTGCAAATTGTTTACATGTACGGGACAGCTCTTCATACTCTGATTTAAATTCGTTCTCCACCGTGCTGAGCTCCTTCAGCTCCCAGCTAAGCTGAAATGCCGTGAGGAAAGGATCCTCACTTGAGAGGGCAATGAGTGACGGGCTGGCAAGGGCCTTGTAGATGTTTAGACGAGAACGGGAGTGACGCAGGACATCCACGTCTGAACTGGACACACACTCCATACAGTTGCAACGTATAGTGTGTGGCTGGGGTATAGAAACCCCTCGCTGCAAGAGCAGTTTGATGATCTCATAGTTGTTAGTTTGAGCTGCCAGGATGATCGGAGTAATGTCTGGGGTGAAGTCTGAAAACTGTTTGTCCAGCAGAGCCGATGGAACCTTTTGAAGAAACCAACAGAGCAACACACAAATGAATAGACATAAAATAACGCATTTATGGTACACAAACATTTTATCACAAAAGTACAATGCTTTTAAACCTCTTGCAGGAACTGAAACAACTCTTTGACTGGATCTAATTTCATTTGTCTTCAGTCTCTAACCATCTTGTCTAACAGCAAGCACACAACTAATGGCTTGTGGTTCAGCTGGCCTCAAAGTGGCTTCCTGGTTGGAAGCAACACCCTGTTTTTCCCTTTTCACAGAATACATAGAGAGAAGCAAGCAGTACTGGAAGACCTCATTTACAAAGATGTCAAGAAGCTGAACACAAGCGGGGCCTTTCTCAAAGAGTCTGATAAACAGACTGTGGAGAATGGCTAATTTGTTGTAAAAGCTGTAGCAGAAAGGCCCACGGAAGTAGGGGTTCGGTAACTTATGAGAGAAGATAATAGCTTTATTCCCTAAATCATCCAGTCGTAGCTAGAATACAAAGGCAAAGAACACACTTATTTGCATCTTATCTCTTTCAGAGTCAGACTAGAAAATAAAATGATTTTTCTCACTGCTCCTACTTAAACATATGAGGAGTTTATATACAAATATTTAACAACATATTTCTGTATACAAATATAACCATATAATAATTAGTAGCTTGTAGTAAGACATTGAGACACTTCTGCTCAAATGTAACCTTGCCACAACATGTCTTTATACAAATACATTACAAAATATAATATAACATAATTTACATTAACCACATGAGGCTCGCAGATTTTCCCAATGCCAGGCTGAACAAATAAATTAATTAAAAAAAAAATATCAGTATGTTCAAAGGTCAGCAATAACTGCAAATCAGATGGTACCTGCTTTTCCCCACGTGGCTTCTTGTGGTTGAGCAGCAGCTCAACGGCCCCCACTACCTCTTTACGGATGGCATGTAGCAGGGCATCACCCACGTGTACATTATAGCTGAGGAGCAGCTCAATAATCTCCAGGTTCTCGTTTTCAATAGCAATGAGCAGAGCTGTGCGTCCCAGGGGGTCCACGCAGTTGATATTGATCCTGAAGTAGATCTCAGCCTCTTCCAGAGCTTGCTTCACGCTGGCGTAGTCCCCCTTCTCTACAGCCCCCAGGTAGGCCCGCTCCAGAGCAGAGAGCTCCGATTCTGCCCGCACGATCCGCAGAGGGATGCGGTCCCTGTACGTGGAGCTGTCAGCTTTCTTATAGTACAGCTGAGACATTGCTGCCCAAACTGTCTCAGTCTTCACGGAGAATTACTGAAAAATAAAGACAAGAAAAAATACCAAGTCAACTACTGACAAAGACTGACCGTGTTATACTTCTATACACGAAAAAGACACATTTCTGCTCACATGACACATTTTGAGATGCCAGTGCGTAACCAAAAACAAATCAAACAAATTAAAAAAACAAATAAAAATACGTATGTTTGCCTTTAAAACATTGTAAAATATATAATTAATCACCCATACTAACACAACGAATAACAATAACATATCATCGTCATCTAAACGATGATTAAAGTTGTTTTTCTCTTAAAAATGCACGAAAACAAGCGACTAAAATCCTTTAGTTTTCGTTTAAAGTACCCTAATACTTGTTTAACTGTGGCTTTAATAATGCACGAAGGAATACAAACTTTACCTCCTGATGTTTTCCAGTTGTAAATCACATGAATCAGTCGACGAAGCTCCGCGCACAGCTGCAGTCGGAAAGGGAAGCTGCGTGCTCTGATTGTTTTTAATCTCTGAAGTCTCCACCAAAGAGTCTGCAACTTAATGGCATGTCAGGTCCCCTGCCCACCCCTTTCCTTCAATTTACCGCATATTTCTCTGTAAAATACACGTAAGAAAACAGCACGTGACGTTCATCCAGGCGCAATTTCTATACACGGTAACTTTCTTTGTAGATTTAAGGACATTAACAGTGGTGTAACAGGTGTCGGGGATAATGCTAAATAAACGAAGGAACAAAACGAGGAATAACGTTGCCTAGAAAACAAAAATCACTAGTCTCCTAAGGGCGGGATTAAAATCATACAAAATAAATAAACTAAAAAAAAAATAATAACAGTTAAAATTTGTTTATGTGAGCTATACTCTCACACGAACAAATTGTAACTGTTATTATTAGATAACGGCCAAATCATTAGATAAACATTGCTACTCGTTTGGACCCTCTTTTGCCTTCAGAATTGCCTCCCGCAGAGATTTTGTTTTTGGTAGCTGTGGCGACCATTTGAGCAGCGTGAATTGATTGTCATGTGCAAGAAACCAGTTTTAGATGAATTGAGCTTTGTGACTATAGGCGCCTTATCCTACTGGAATTAATCTTCAGAATACGAGTACACTGTGATCATAAATTGATCGATATGGAAAGCAACAACACTAAAGTAGGCTGTGGTTTTTAAATACTGACAATCCCCCACACCACTACACCACCACCACTAGCCTGAACAGTTGGGGGGGAAAAAGGCACAATGGATCCATGCTTTCATATTGCTTGTGCCAAATTTAAGACTACCATGTAGTTTTGTTGGAGAAATCAAAAGTCATCAAACCACACAATATTGTTAGGGGTTGGTAAAAACGATCGCCTCAATTTCCTGCTCTTAGCCGACAGAAGTGACAGCCACTGTGGTTTTCTGCTGCTGTAACCCGTCTGCTAATGATGTTTCCTGGAAACCACAAGGAATAGATATACATCACTGCGGAGCAGATACCAAAGATCTTTGATTTCCCTGGAATTACCAACTCATGCAAAATTTGCCCTTTAGTAACATCACACATTTACTTTAAAAAGCAGAGATTTGGATCTGTGCAACACCCTAGCCTCCCACTTTCATCTTTGTAGACTCAAGGGTTTTACAGACATCCAGCAACCACAGACTACTATAAGAGCGTCTTTTTTTGTATTGCAAAGTTTTTGGTTATTTAATAAATGTTCACAAGAATCTACTTTACTAGTAAAAATTGCTGTTCAAGAGATCTTGTAAATTCTCTTTATCCCTGATATCCACTGGGCTGTTAAAGGATTGCTGTTTGAGTTATGTGAACAACAGCCAATTGATGTAAGATGGTTAATATGAGTCTTTAGCTGGCTAATGCAAACACAGAAGTGGCTTAAAAAATTCTTTCAAAACCACCTTTTCTTCCACAGCCATCGTCGGTGCTTCCTCCTTTGAAATACAGCTATGTGGGATGACTTTGCACGAGGTACTTCTGTACTTTTGTGAGGTGCATACTTGTAAATTCCTTTTACTCGTCTTTTTTCAGCCTTTTGGTTTTGCTCCGAAGGTATATTCCTGACATTAATCAGTTGCAGGCATCGTGAGAGTTCAGTCTTGAGATGATGGACTTCATCAAGTGATGTTCTATGAATCATGCACTCACATTTAGTATTTCCTCCTTTTCTTTGTAGTTGTTGCAACTTGCATGTGTAAGAGTGTTGTGTGATTTTAACAGATACTGTATGTGTGTGAGAGAACACCGTGTATGATCTGTCAAATTTCCCCTGCTTTGGAATATCTCACTTACAGGACTTGTGATCACTGTTATTGTTATAACTCCAGCTGTTATTACATTGCACCTGCAAGAAATCTGCAAAACAGCCTGCTGTTTTGTGCATTTACTAATGCAATTATAACAGTGCAAAGAAAGATTTATTACAGTATATGCAGATGGTGTAGCTTTCCTTTTTGCGTCCTGTTGCTCTCAAGTAATAAAGAGTGTGGCTGGGGCCGCAGGTGTACAGTTTTTACTGCAAGCAGTCTGTGTAGCATGATTTCCAACACTAATGATCAAATATAACCAGGATACAGTTAGACAAAAACAATTTCCGGTTAACTTGCTTGCCATAATAACGTCCTGTATGATCAGCTCATGTCCCATATTTTATTATAATGCACTTTTGGTGGAGATTAGCTGACAGAGAGGGCTGATGCATGGATGCAAGCTGGCCTTCTTTATATTACATCCCTTTATATCCTACAAGCAAACTGTAATGCACTTATATATATATGTTGTTTTGGTACATTTTATTTAAGACAAACTGAGACAGAGGAAGGTGGTTTGCACTGTAGTGTCACAGCAAGAAGGTTCTGAGTTCGAATCTACTTTGCTGGCTATGGTCTGTTTGAGTGGAGTTTGTCTGTATGGGTTCCTTCTGCTTAATCTGGCTTTCTCCCAGAGTCCAAAGACATGCTTGTTAGGTTAACTGGTGATTCTAAATTGGCTCTAGATGTGCATGGTTATCTCTCTCCCTGCGTCAGTCCTGCAACGGACAAGGAACAGCATACCCTGCCTATTACCCTTTGGCAGCTGGTATAGGCTCCAGACCAACCATGACTCTGAAATTGGATAAGTGGAAGAAAATAGATGGGTGGAAGATAAGATTATTGTCTCCCATAGGAGAAAATCATCCTGGATCAGGCAACTGCTGCATTGAAAATCAGACAACAAAAATCAAGACAAAAACCTAAAATGGGCGAACTTTTAGTAAATACAGATCACATAACAAGTAAAAACTTAATAAATAATTAAAAAACTAATATTTCAAAACCTCTTTACACTGTCATTCAGTCATGAGTTGTCCATTCATCAATTTAACCGACAGAAGGAGGAATAAATACTCTAATTTATCAGATATATTTACACAAAAGGATCTCCAACCAGAATTCATCAGCCAAACTGTGGACTGTACACAACTTTCTTGGGGAATGAGAAGTTTTGTGTGCTGTTCTTATGATCTTTCCTTATCTTTTAACCAAGCTAGAAATCTGAACTTTATAATTAGCTGTTATACAACAGATGTAGCAGCACTGCATAACATTTTCTCAGTGGAATATGAAAACCCAGATGGCCTCTGGTATACACACCTTAGTATGAACAAGTATTGGCCCCTTTCTTGATTTCTTAGATGCATATTTGTCATGTGTTTGTTTTAGATTATCAAACAAATCTGACTATTAGACAACGATCAAATGCAGTTGTTAAATGATTGTTTCACTTATTAACAAAGCAATCCAAACCTACTTCACTCTATGTGAAAAAATAATTGCCCTCTAAACTTAATAACTGTTTGTGCCAATATTTGTAGCAAGAGCTACAACAAGCATTAGCAAAGATCTAGCAGTGAGTGTTTTTACATCAGTGCAGAGGAATTTGCAGGACTGGTTATTATTGTTATTGTTGTCATTGATCTGCTCTGTTCCGAAGTGTTTTAAATCAAGCACTTTTCTGGTCGAGAGCAGAATTCATGGTTTTATCAAAGACAACAAGGCATTCAGGTTGTAAAGCAGCATACAGGGAGTGCAGAATTATTAGGCAAGTTGTATTTTTGAGGAATAATTTTATTATTGAACAACAACCATGTTCTCAATGAACCCAAAAAACTCATTAATATCAAAGCTGAATGTTTTTGGAAGTAGTTTTTAGTTTGTTTTTAGTTTTAGCTATTTTAGGGGGATATCTGTGTGTGCAGGTGACTATTACTGTGCATAATTATTAGGCAACTTAACAAAAAACAAATATATACCCATTTCAATTATTTATTTTCACCAGTGAAACCAATATAACATCTCCACATTCACAAATATACATTTCTGACATTCAAAAACAAAACAAAAACAAATCAGCGACCAATATAGAATCAGAATCAGAATCAGAATACTTTATTCATCCCGAGGGAAATTAGGGGTTACAGCAGGCAGCACGCTAATGGCGCATGCGCACTCACAAAGGAACCTTCTGACCGACTTTACACAAACATCACATTGGGCAGACATGTCAGAAGGTAGGCTGATAGGAAAAAAACAACGAAAATACACTACATGAGGTAAGAGGAGGAGAAAAAAAACTCCACTCAGACTGAGCTCCTAGTGGGAGAACAGTTTGATAAAAGAAAAAACACCTCAGCACAAAAGCACATGACTATCAATACACCATAGAAACACGAGACAAGCAACAGGGGCGGGTAAAGGGTAAGAGAGAGCCGGCGTAGACAGCGCATCCGGTCCTGCAGCATCTGTGCTGGTCCAGTTGACTGCTATCATCCCCGGTAGGGCACAAGCATCGAAGGCGTTGGAAAGGGAGGGGGATGAGTGAGTGCTTATCAGTGTAAGTGTGTGTGTGCGTGTCCATAGTTTAGCTGAGACAGTGCCCTTCGGCCTATCAGGCTAAGTAAACAGTCCTCCAGCCAATCCAGGTTTCCTTCATGGGGCGGGAAGAATAGTCATCACACAGTCGTTATCAGGGAGTTGTTTTGGTGGGCTCCAGCCTTGGGCCTGCAGCTGGGGCCGTGGTGTCCAAATGTTGAATATTGTTGATTTCTCCTTTGTGAGCAGCTCGAATTCTAGCACTCCGAGGCTGGTCTCTCGATCTCCCGTTGAAGAGCTGCGAGCCTCCCCATGATGGTATCAAACTTCTGTTCCGTGGTGTTGTCAGTCTTTTGATTCTGAGACCTCACAACTGCAGTGATCCGTTCCGCGATGTTTTCCAACTGTCGCTCAAGGGTCTCATTTTGAGCAGGCCTCTCTCTGATGTTTCCCCTCATACGCTCAATGGTGTTGTTTTGAGCCTTCACAGCAGCTGTAAGCGTCTCCAAGGTGTTGACCATATTACGTTCGTTGTGAGAGGTCGCACCTCGTCCCGTCGCTTCGAATCCAGCGGGCAGCCTTGTGGGGGTTTGAACAGCCGGTTCCGCTTTCTTATTTCTCTGATAAACCAGGGCTAAGCCAACGCCAATCAGCATGAACCCTGTTATCATGGTCCCGAATAGGTAGATATCTTCA